GTACTTGGAAAAATAAGCAATGTAAATTCAAGCCGAATATTATATTCAGAGCTGCTCGCTGGTTATAAGTTATATCTAAACGTATCTAAAAAAAGTGTTGCATTGTATTAATATTTCTCATTCGTTTCTCAGTGCTTGACTATAGTTTAATTTTAAACGATAAAAGTGGTAGAATTATACTGCTAAATCCAGTCTTCAATGTATATTATCATGAATCACAACGTAACTGTAGTTTTGATTGTGCAATAAATATTTTATTTTTAATGAATGTCACGTATTAGTGTATACAATTGGAAAAAAAGTCGTGATTAAAACGAAGGACTACATTTTTCTAGAATTATCCTTTATCTTTTCGATTATCACGAAAATGTGTCATAACATTTTATTAATTATCAATTTCTTTGTTTCGTTATTCATTTTGATACAAATTGTTCATAAGATTATGCAAATATATATATTATTAATTTATTATAAATTGAATTTATTTTTAGCTATTATATCGCTAAATTTAATTCACAAAATTCAAAGTATTTAGTTTTATATAATACTAAAGGAATTTCAATAATTTCTAGAAAAGCATCATACATGAAAAAGTAGTAAAGTTTTTTTTACGCGATTGAATAATAAAATAAAATATTAAAACTCATTTGATATGTTTCTGTGTATAAATTGTAAATAAATTAAAATTAAACTGTATATTAATATTGAGTAATACATAATAAAATACATGTAGGTATTACTCCGCTTAGAATCTAAAAATTCTATCTCTATATTTATTTGTAAATTTGTAGAAACTCACATATTATCTTATACTCAAAATGTAATAGCATTTCAGAGCATGTGTCATGCATAGCTGTAAATTGGTGATTCATCACATTAATCAATAATAATTTTTTTTGACCTTGCTAGTTTCCTGGATTTAAAAAAAAATGTATCAATTAAGTGCATAGTTAGCTTAGTTTAATATTCATAGTCAATAGTCATTGCTTTAAAAAAGAAAAAAAATGTAATATTACATTCAAGTATAGAAAAGAAAATAAGTCCTTTACGATTTTTTTTTTTTTTTAAGTGTATTTAATGTTCATTAATTATAAGATTGAATTTTTTTTCTTAAATTTAAACTTCATTGGATGTTTTTGCAGTGCTTAAGTTTTTGTATTGTTTGACAGATTTCAATTATAACGGCAACATTCCATCCCATTTATGTACTTAATAATAATTGTTAACAAACTCATGTGACCTCGACAAGTAAAAATCAACCACGCCTTTCAAATATTCTTATTCACTACCGGTACTTCAAATCAATTTCCTATTTAAAATTGTATATATCTTAGATACATTATATTCATATAATCTATTATAATTTTTACTGTGTTAGATCTTTCTTTACAGTTTTTATATTTTCAAAACTTTTGAATATACATATATATATATTTTAATGAAATGTATGTATTTCTTAACAACTAAAAATTAAGAATTCAATTGGATTTCTAAGCTTATCTGTTATTTATTGTTGCAAATCAAATCAAATGTTTTTATTTTGCAATTGCCTTCTATGCCATTCAAAAATGTCAAACGTGTTAAAACAAATAAGTATTTTAAATAATATTAAATGCGTTTATTTATTTAATTGTTATTTCTAATAGCCGAATAGAGTAAAAAAATAAGCATAATAATGTTTGACAAATATTTACAAGCTTTTAAGAACAATACACGATAAATACAAACATTTGAAATAAAAACATTTATTTTCCCTTTTTAACTGTGATATATCTTTGTATTGTCAAATTTAAGCAAAATTACATTTGTTCGTATAATCTGTTACGTTGTTTTACCTAAATTACACAGTGCACACAAAACAAAATAATACAAATTATTAAAAGTGAACTCCCATAAGTATTTTTTTGTTTTAGACGTATTATCTTAGTCAAAGAACTAGCTTTGACTACGAAATAAAAAAGTGTCATATAATCATGAATAATTTTTATAATGGTTATATTGATTAGTATTTTTCCGAAATTGGCGGTATTCAAAAAAGTATTGTAGTGTATTAGTATTGTAAAATAAATTAAATATCAACATCAATGTTATTTGATACTTGTGTACAAGTATTAAAATTATAATTATATATTCTAATGTACATAAAATAGTATAACGTGCACACTGATTTTTCCAAGATCAAGGGCTTATATGAAACTCTTAGAATTGTCTGTTAGACTTTCATTTTCTATGGCTGGTACTTATCGATTTAATGTTAGGGTTAGGGTTTTTTACATGTTTTCCTGTTTGCCCTACAAGGGGTTCCCAGCTTGTTGTTTATATTGCAGCGCAGGAGGCATAGATATGAAATCATTGGCTTAATATTTATATAATACAGATTATAGATTTTAGATTAAAAGCTATTTATTCGATTATTTTAAACAATACGGCGAGGATAAAAAAAAGAGATGAATTATAAAGCTAATAAAAGATAGGTCATGGATGTTATCTATGATTTTTGAACGAGAACTGTACTATGCGAAATCTGATGCTTTTATATTATACCTTGACATTTAGTTATAATATTTTAATAAATACATTATTTTTAATGAGCATTATTATGTGGTAGGTATATTGTTTATTTGTAACTTATATACTGAATCGAGTTTCGATATATCAAGTATTATAGATCTTTGTTTTGTGAGATTAACACAATTTATAGTTTGGAGAATTAAATTTTAGCATTTTATGTTACTAAAAAATGAATTGATAAAATATTTTGAGAGAGTCAAAAAATTTACTTGACTAACGGACTTCTAAAGCATTGTTTCTTTTAATTTTGTTTTACAATGGCAGTACTTATACTTCAAACCCATCTCAAAAAATTGGCCTGTCAACACCACTATAGGTGGTGCTTAGGCTGCGGGAACATTAGTCATATTTTCATTCACTTTGTCTGTTAAGCCTTAAAAAAAAAAAATATATAATTTAGATAATGGTCTATAGCTGTTTAATTATTATTATTTACTATGTTTTCGTATATGCACGCAACAACTAAGATGGGGTTGCGTGCCTAATAATAATCAATTTTTTGGTTTGGTGTTATTTAATAAAGATCCAAGATATGCCTAAAAATACAAATAACTGTTGTTGATTGTAAGTTTTCAAAACTGATTTTTGTGTGTAATGTGTTGTTTAATATTTATTGATGTAAAGTTTTGAATTGTTTTATAATTTTTTTTGACCTGGGATAAATTACATACTTATACACAAAAATAACTTCGCCCATATATTTTGTTCGTTTAATCATTTAATAAATTATTAATTACGCATCAATATTAATTTTTGAAATGTTTTAGATTTTATCTGTTTTAATTGATGTTAGACAATCAAAAATCATACATTATTGTGACTTATTCAATCTCAACCATTTTAGTTTAATTAATATTTTTTTTTAACTGAATATACTTACTTAAATTATAGTTATTTTCATCATAAGAAAATATGTATATACCTATTTAACGTGTACATTTTTACCTACGTCAGTTTTAATCGAATTTGACATATTGAAACTATGCCCCTCATAAACTATAAACGAATGATTTATAATGCAAAATAATTTTAACTAACTATTTTCCATTTTAATCGTATAGATAACATTACAGTATCACTTTCCATATGTCGTTATTATTGCATTATCTTACTCTTTATTAAGAAGTGTAAGATGAATATATTGAATACAATAGACAATAATATACAATTATAGTAGATATAAATAATTTTATATTATTTTCAATATCTATATGTATTCTGTATTCAGATTATAGAAAACATATCTCTTCCGCGATTTACGCGTCTTATAGGTATATAAGTATATTTAAGATTATAATGAGGATAGTGTTAAAGCTCATGAGCTATCGGCCAATATCGTTTTATATTTTAGTGCAAATCCTATGAACAATTCAAGTTATAACTTATAACAATCGTATATTTTTTCAAGATCAGAATTACCCAAAAATTAGATCACTAAATAATGTTATATCGAAAATTCTCTTAGATGTTCCAATAACTAAGGCTTCTTTTGATTAAACAAATTTTAAGAAAAAAAATTATATAAAGAAGAAACTAAATACAAAAACAATAAAAGTAGTTGTCTCACATCTATTAATTATACATTATAAAAATTGATTTCAAAAATAAACTATATTACCCCGTTAATTTTTTCCTGTTAATAATTATAAACATACTAATTCTTTGTATTTAATGACTAATCTTGCCAAAGTCACTTTTTCTTATTAATTCTATTCATAAATATATTTATTTAATATTTAATTTTAATCTTTATATCTATATATTTTGTATGTATCATTGGTCCTATGTATAATATTATGATTGCATAACGTGTACTATACTACCAGAAACACATCAAAATGAAAAAAAAGGAAGAAAAAAAAATATTTTTCACTTGTCTATATAGTTATCATATCTTAATATTTTAATATAACTTATCGTATTAATATTCAATATTGTTTGGTTATATATACAAAATGTCTTCATGTTTTTATAAGAAATTTTCATATGTATGACAAAATTGTTTTAATTTCAAAACCGTTCGTCTTGGCAAAATTTAGTATTCAATTATATAATTAAAAGTATTTAAAAAATAATCGTATAGTTGTGATTGAAAGAAACCCGTCTTGTCATTACTTATTAAATATAATGAATAACACGCTGTTCATGCTGCGATTCGTTGTTGGATAATAAATAACTCAGGAATTGTTAAAATACATTTAGTAGAAACCTATTTTTAATTTTCTTTATTAAAACTTACTGTTTCAATAACCAATAAGACTAGAAGTAAATAAAGTTGTAGTGTAGTGCTTCATGCGTAAATACCAGTAATCAAACCTCACACCTTAAATATTATTATTGTGATGATTTGAAGTAATATTACGTCTTCCATTACCTATAATGTAATAGTATTTTTTTTTATCTACAATTTAATTTCTGTATTGTTTCAGATCTACAGTATTATTGAGAGGAATCAAATTGCAAACACAACGATACATTTGAGAAGTGTTACTGTGTTTGCTCCGCACAACGAAGCGTTTTTGAAGTCGACTAAACAAGAAAATGACGATGAATATTTACCGTGCTACCATATAAGTGAGTAACAGCAGTTATTTTTTTAGCAATTTCCTACTACAATTTAGGATGAGTAAATAATATATGAAATCCATCGTATATAAACAGCCCCAAAGGATATGGTTGGTTGGGTAGTACTCGTTAATAAGACTCAGAACTACATTTTAATCCCTACTGGGAATTAAGATAATAAAAATGTATTTTGCATTTTTTTTCTAATATGTAAATGTATGTATATATTTTTAAGTAGTTATTATTATTTTTATGAAAGAAAATGACTGCATTTAGATTATTTATTGAGTGCCTATCTATATTGTGTTTATTTTTGATTCTTTTAGTACACATTTATTTTAAATTGATTTAAGTTTAGGTTTTGATAAAATATTTCTTTTATACAATAACATGTTTGTTAGATGTTGCCTATGTTAACAATCATGTAAATAATTGTCAATTTAAAATAAATTAATACATTTCTATAATGTTCAAACATTAAAAAAAAAAAAAAAAATAGTAATAATAACTAATAAGTACTCTGTTTAACTATTAGATTTCACTACATTACCTAATATAAACGTTATATAATTTAAAGTTAGACCAATATTATGATTATACTCGAGGGTGGTTCATTAATATTGGGAAGGAAATAATATATTTTATTTTTTTATAAATTATAAACAATGATATTCAGTTTTAACAAAATGGGGAGGTAGATGTAGATGAAAGGAAGTGTATTAGGATGTTACGGTGCATTAACTTACCAGTGTCACGGGCTTTGGGCTTAATAACGACAGTATACCGAAGTTCTGACCACCTTGACTAGTGGTTTTAAACGCGTTTGTCCGTTAAAACCACGACAGTCGAATTGCATCGCCCATAAAATTTTCTTTTTATAGTTAAGCATCGTTGTAAGCGCACATGGTAAATGTACACTATCATTAATGTCTACGCGACGTCATCTTTCTATGTTACGAACAAAGTCAATCACTGGTTGACCACAAGTATACCTACATTACATACGAGCATATAACCGGGTATATCTACTTCCCTGTTTTATATCGACATGTCAATAAATACATTCAGTTATGTAGAAACATCTAAATGGAATTTAATATTTTTTAAAGCATTAAAAAAAATAGAAGTACCTGCTACTACTTCATCTACATGCCGTGAGTGTCTGACCAAATAGATAAAAATATAATATAATATAATGTATAATAATTACACTTTAATTGTCTTTATAGACGCATATAAACATAATATATTAATACGAGTTTTCAATGAACTATTTCTTAAATATTTTTCAGGATATATTTTCTAACGAATTTGGTTTATGCTTAAAAAAAAGTGTGTAGCTACTTACGAAAATATATTAGTTTTGTTTTTGTGTTAAATTATGTATCTCATTTATTTAAATATATAGCATTACGATTGAAATGCTAAATTTATCTTCCAGTACCGCTGCCTTAAAGTATTGTTTTGTGAATATAATTTATTCTGTACGTGTTTTTTTTTTTTTTATATAACAGTTGTGCTCTACCTATTTATTTTACGAGGCCTAATACCGCATAGTATTGTTATTGTATAATAATAATTATTTTTAGTTTTTTTTTTTTCCTTCATTCTTTGCGACTATATTTCTCAAGGAACTTAAGAATTTCATTATTTGACACGGTGCGAGTACGCTTATTAGAAATTAAAATGTTTTAGATGGATACTGCACATGCAAGTAATTTTGTACCATTATGAATAAACGCTGTTAGTATTTTCTATTCTAAGGTTATTGAGCGTGTGGCCTGGGTATAGGACACGCGATTTTCTCGATTCATTTGTTTGGACCACACTGTGTTGTTTTTCACATTCTTTACCTGATTTATAATTATACACCTTTGTCGTTTTGTAAAATAAAAACTATTGTTCATTTTAATATATGGACGAATTTATTCTAAAATTTTTATAAAATATGTAGTTATAATTTATAAAATATTTTGTTCAAACAGAAATCGAAACTTTAAAATTTGATCAAATATCAATTCATTTATAAGTTTAACAAAGCAAGTTTGATAAACATATTATATATATATATATATATATATATATATATATATATATATATATACTAGACCTACTTCGAAGTATAATTTGATTTAAATTAGTATATAAATATATGGTAATAAAATAAATCGAACCACTATCCCTTGAATATATTTGCTTAATTGAGTCTAAAATGAAATGTAACAAATAGTACCTAATGCAATATTGCTCTATAAAATTCAATATGTATTCAAATTTACACAACAGCAGTAAATTAATTTAAACAACACAAACAAGTAGAGCGATCAATAATATAAAATATTATAAAAACATTAGCGTACATAGTTATTAAATATTATTATGATAATAAAACATAAAGTAACTCAAAGATATTGAAATAAAATGCTCTTATATAATATTTAAAAATAAATTACGAATTAAATAATACACGGATAGCCTTTTTATATTTCATGACTCACGAATACAAGAAAACGATTTATTTGTTACAATAATTTCCTTATAGTCGTTATAAAACGATTTTTTAATATAATAAATTCATTGTTACTTAATTGATTATTTTAAATAAAAAAATTTAATGAATTTTAAAGCACCAGAATCAGCATCATTTTGTTTGAAATCTTCTAACGATATTGTTTTTTATCCTAGTTTTTAAAAGTTGTAATTTTTAATTTTGTGATTTTTCATGATAAATAACTTAATAACATTTTCATTTCAAAATATGAATAATCCAGTTACCTAGTATTATCTATATTTCCTTTTATTATTAAATTTTTTTTTTAGTTGTAAACAAAATCATTTTTGTAGCTATTAATTTTTTTGGTTTAATAAAATAAGTAGCTAATGTTAATTTATATTTACAGCAAATGTACCAATGAAACTAGAACAATTGGGAAAGTCTGTATTTTCTGAATTAGATGGTAATCCACCCATGTGGATTACAAAAAAAAGTTCAGAAGAGATATACGTTAACCAGGCTAAAGTTGTCTATAATTTGGCTAATTATGAACACAATAATACATTTGGAAAACCTCAAGTAAGAATAAGTTAGATAACTATAATTCTTTAATTTCAAAAAATATATTTATTAAATTTTATTTATTAATAGGTGTTGCACGTAATTGACCAAGTTTTACAACCTTTGCGAATGAAGAAAAATAGTCCTCAAAATGTTTACAATCCTAATGCATGGGAATTCATGGAAAATGCGGAATACTTGGATTTAGATAGTTATCACACTAAGTAATTATATACTACGTAATAAAAAATGCTTCAGATTAATTATAAAGTCATCTCTAGCTTAAAAATTAATTATTTTCATTGAGAGAACCAACCACGCATTTTATTTGTTCCCGTTAGTATTTTCTTTTTTTTTAATAATTAATTGAAGTATGAAATTATTATCATTGTGATATAAAAAGTCATAGTCATAACAATTTTAAATATTTTTTAATTTATCTATTATACTTAATATAAAAATATTTAAGTTTTGATTATAATGTTATTCAAAAATTTGAATGCTAATTTAAGCAAATTTATTAAAACTTAAATTTTTTATTTCCTTTAAATACCCATTTATTTGACGTATATCGTCATATAAGTACTTGAGAGTTCTGTCACTGGATAACACCTCCCTTTCATACTATTATTATCTTGTTAATTATTCTCCGTATCATATATTACTCGTACATTTGTTTATTGTACACATACTGCAAATTAGAAAATGACACAACTTGTTTAATTATTATTATACTTAATTATTTTATTAATCAACTTCAAAACTTCTGTTTAAGAATAAAATCATGTTTCTTTTCTTTTGATCACGATTATTACAATAGAATAAACCTTTTAATAAACACAAACCTATAGACTTTTTTAAGTTTTATTTTATGGTTAAAATTATTTACAGTTTTCATTAAGATTCCCATTAGAAATATTAATGTCTGATGTTCACTTATACTCTATTCAAACTTCGAAACAAATAACAAAATAATAGTTATCATTTGTAGGTTATTTTATCCATATATTTTTATATTCAAAACAAAATATTTTTTCATAGTTATTTACTATAATATTGTTCAGCATTTTTTTTATTGATCATAAAAACCATTTTACTATATAATAGTCAATCAAATTTATTATTATTTTCATGTAAACATTTTATAATATTTTTATATATATAATTGACTTACTACTAAATACGCATTTTGTTATTTGTAGAACTTAAAAAACTACTTTGAAAATTTAAATTTAAATTAAGTTTAAACTAAGTAATTTTAAAATATTAACAAAATAAGTCTTGCGCATAAAATTAATTTTTAGAAATTACAGTTGTATATTATGTAGATAGATATTTACGTACGGGCGTCGTCTAAAAATTGTCTCCGAGTTGAAAAGCAGACCGCTTTGTCTTATACGACTCATTTCCTCTCGTACTGTTTCTTTTAATTACATTTAATCGTTTTCGCTTTAGTTCTTTACACCCACTTCCATAACATGTTTAATTACCTCATTGAGGGGTCTCCATACCACCTCGGTCAGGGGCATACCACGCATTTTTACCCGTACATCCTGTTTATCATTGGCAAATCGTTAAATTTAGATTATACCCGTTCTTTTATACTTATCAGCATAATAATTGTGTGCCTAATTTAAGTATTAAACTTCATCAGAGAAATAAATTATCAAATTCAAATGACATTTTAAAACTAATAATATTTTACAAATTAAGTATAGAAAAAAAAATTAACATGTATCTTTTCTTTTCGTAACTAATATTTAATAAAAAAATAACACTTCACTAAATAGCTATTTTCTTAATTTAAAATAAAAAAAATTGGTTAGTTAGAGTTATGAAAGTATACATATATATATATTAAATGTAAAAAAAAATATATTCTCAAGTTTATAAAATTATAAAATAATTTTAAAGTTGTAAAATAGTAAAAATATTTTTCTTTGATTTTAATTCTGCTGTAATTAATCATTAGGTTATGGTTTTTGTAATTTTGAATGCGACAATAATTTGAAACGTGTTAATAATTTACTTAAAAACGTAATGTAGTTAAATTTATTTAAAATTGTATTAAAATATTTTTTAAAAATACATAGATTCACCGATAATATTAAGTGATAAGAATAGCGTCCAAAGTAAAAAATATTTTTAAAATATTAGTACTTTATCTGTTAATTTATATTTTGTGTTTTGATTATACATAATTTTTTTTAGTACTTTTTTGCAACGAGTACAAACTCTGGATAAGAAGAGCGTATTCTCCAATCAAGGTGGACATACATTTTTTATACCAGTAGATGAAGTTGCCAATGTAAGTATTATAATAGATTTATAGATAGTATGTAATTTATTCCACATTGTGTTTGTGGTTCAAAAAATAATATTGTTATTTGTAAACATGAATTTCTTTATTAAGTTAATAAATATTTTTAAAAGATAGACTGAAATATAATAATATGTATAGCTCACAGTTCCGTTATATTATTTTTGAGTGTTCAATAAAATAAACTACCATTTTTATTATAATAATATAGGTAACACGATCAAAAATTATCATTTTAAAAGTTATTTCATTCTTGAGTATGTCTACTAAATTATGACGATAAAATATTGTATTATTCATCATGACTGTCTCTTTTAGTTTTATATTTGTATTTACATTTCAAAATTAAAAATAAAAGTTTTCTTAAATACTTGAATATGAATTTTATTGATATTACTAACTCTCTACAACTATTATTTTTAATGAATTCGATATAAAGTTTATAGTATAATTAAATATTATTCATATTACTTTACAAAAGTAATTTCAAGTATCTCTATTGTCTTCAATCGTGTAGGTCTTAGCTTTCACCGTTTGGTAAACATTGTTATATAGGATGCTGAATCTTATTTTCGTAGATAATAATTTACTCGTCATTTATCGATGTAATGTTATCCTATGTTGTTGTATATATCGTGACCAAATTATATTTTCAAGAGTGAATTGTTATAATCAGTATTTTTAATGATTGTAATCAATTTGATTTTTTAAGAGAATTCATTTCTAAACCTGAATGACATTGTAGCGGTGAAATTATATTTTATTTTGTATTTTTAATTTCGGGAATAATAAAATGTTGTTACATCTTTCCGACTTGGAATATTATTATTTTTCATGTTAATTATTTTTAAAATTTTTAAATGAACAATTAATTTTAAATATTACAAACAATTAATATAAAGATAAAATAAACTATAAATTATTAAATCTAAAATATATCATTTATATATCTATCTACACTTTTTATTTTATGACAATCAGAGCTGTTAAAGATTATTTTACTAGATAGTTAATCTATATTAATTAATTTATCGGTTTTATTAAATTTTTAATTATATTTAGTATCCAAAAGTAAGACCTGAAAAAATCGATGTGAAAGTGATTGACGCCCACATCGTTCCAGATAATGTTTTATTTTTGGGTCCAACCAATGAAGACGAGCAATTCAAAACATTGGCGTTTACTGACATGCTTAAAGTATTAGCATCTTTTTCTAAAGCTGATGAAGGGGATAAAATTAAATGTGAGTTAAGCTAAAATTACTAAAATGCAAATGAAATTTACGAATTAAAAATGTAATTTTTATATTGTATGTGTTTTATGGGGTTTTCTTATTACGTAAATACTATATTGCTATTTTATACGCTGTTTACATTTTTATAACAAACATAATTGATTATATAGTTACTTAGAAAAGTTTTTAAAATTGTATTTTTATTATTTTTAAAAATGTTATTTTTATTAAAATCCATGGTGTTTTTTAAATATATGTTATTATTATTTTTTAGATTACGTAAGCAGTGACACTGTTGTTGGTGATGGTGTTCATCCAACTGGAGCTGTAGTAGCAGAAATTGTTAAAGCAAATATACCTGTCAGAAATGGCGTGGTTCATTTGATTAGTAGACCATTGATGATAGTCGATAACACTGTTAAACAATTCATTGAGGTCAGTTAATATTTATATTTTATTTAGAAGTACTTTGAAATTATAAAATTTTAATTTTATTTTGTTTCATATTTGATGCTACTGAATATAATAAAAGCAGTCGTATAAGGTATGCATATTTTATTGTTAAAATTATTTTATTTTTAAACTTAAATTTCTTTTTAAACTCATGTACAGTATATACAATCATATTAGTACGTAATTATTTACTATGCTAAGGTATTATTTATTAATTATAATTTAATAACCTTAGTAACTTACTCATCTTATTCATTTTTTACTTTCGAGAATGAATAAATTGTCTTGAATAATTACATATTTCAAGTTTAAATTTAAATGGTTAAAAATAGAATAAAGATAGAAATAAGTTTGATAGTTCGATTACGAGTTATTATAAATTATAACATATTAATAGGTTTTTCAATAATATGAACTTCACTGTTTCCAAAAAAAATAAAAAGATAAATAATTTGAATACAGATTTATGTTAAGTTAAATAATACATAATACAAAGCAGTTTGTTCTTCTGATAGATTTAAAATACTCAGCATTATGTAAAATTAACCTAATTTACGGTATATTTACTGAGTACTCAATCGTCTGTTTATATAATATCCGTATTCCGTATACAATAAATTGTAACTTTAATTGTATGTATTTGACAAACATACATGTTTAAATAAACTGTTTTATTATTTGAAAATAATATCATTGTTGTTATTTCTTTATGTATATTTATTTTTTTAAATAAGATCCTTTAAAATAATTAATACAATACAATGTTTACATTTTTTTTCTAAATGCGCATAGAATTAGGTTTTCGTATATTTTTCAGATCTTTTAAACTACTAAATTGAATTTGTTTAATTTATATATAATATTACTAAAAAATAAAAATAAAATAATAATAATAATAATAAAGTGGCATATTTATCTTTAAACAGTTGAAATTAAATTCACAAGAATTTTTACGTAATATAGGTATATTTTTCATTTATGATGGTGTTTATTTCATTGTAGTCACTTTTTATTTATCTTATTCCAAATTTCAAAAATATTTGAGACCATAAAATAATCATAAAGTGTGACCAAATGTAATAAGTAATATATTATTTTGTTATTCATGTTATCAGGATAGAGAAGACAGTGTTTTACACAGATTCTACGAGGAGATTATGAATTCCGGTGGTGATTTTTTGGAAAAACTCGGTGCCATGCCAAATGTTACGCTTTTTGCACCTTCTAATGCAGCACTCAACGACCCATCTATCCAATCATATTTGACAAATCGTACTTACATCAGGTCTTTACTTGACTTGCATATTGTTAGTAGACGTCTCTCCATCGATGATATTGTTGCTGAATCCATTGATAAGGTATGTGATCTACAGTTTAAAAATTATAGGTACCTATACGGCTATACGTTATTTGACTTTAAGTATTTTGCTTATTTTCTACTATGTTTTTTTGTATTAAATTCTGTTTTGCAACGTAGATTTTTTACTATTAGTATTGGTAATTTACGTAATTTTACTAATTTTAGTATATTTGATTATAATATATTTCATTTTCGGTAAAATATATCTTTCAATTATTTTCAAACAGTTCAAATATTTTCAGTATTTTCAAATCATCAAATAGTTGATTTTAATCAACTATGTATACTTATTAAAAATAGTTTAATTTATTCGTTCATTTCTAACATTATAATTTCTGATCTATCTACTTACCACTTACCAGGTAGTTATTACTGACTTTATCTGACTAGGTAGTCACTTGCGTATATATAAACAAGTTTTACTAGAAAAAAATTTCTCATTTAAGTTTTGAAACTATATTTTTATTTCATACACTTAATTATTATATTATACCTTATTTTGACAATTAAAAAAATTGGTATGTAGTTATATTATTAATCGCGTCTTTAGTGTCTATAGGAACAATTGATGATTACAACTAATTTTAAAAATTATTAAAATCTACTTAATACTTATACTAAATTAAGATATCATATCATTTGCATACTTCCATAAATTTTATTGACATTTTTTAACAAAAATAATTTTACCATCACTTATTTAAATTTATAATAATATATTACACTTAATAGTAGACAATTATGTTGTATTTGTTTTATTGTATAATAGGATAATGTGCATGATTTTAATTTTTTTTCTATCTACAATGGATTAGCGTCTTCAGGTTTCTACAGAAGTGCCTCGCAAGGATCTGTTCTTCAACGTAGTCACCAATGGTAAGAACCGCACATTGACCCTGGAGGGTGGCGGTGTTAACGCTACCGTAATCCAGGCTAACTTAGCAGCTACAAACGGCATAATACACATCATTGACCACGTACTGGGTATTCCATCATCGACTGTCGACCGCAAACTGGCCACTGACCCCACGCTCAAGTAAGTTACCGTGATAACAGCTATGTAACGTTTCTCATGTAGTAAAAATCGTATACACCATTAAAGTATAATATTATTGTTAAATGCTCAAAAAAAAAAAAAAAATATGTTTGTTCTATACATATTAATTAGTATAGCATAATATATGACCTACAAGTGATGTAGTTAATGAAATTATAAGTTATAAATTATAATCAAGGTTTTTAATATTAATTTATTATAGTGAAACTAACTATCTCGGCCAAGTTTCCTTGCTTAACGATCAACTAGGCGATGTTCAAAAAAGATTCACTTATTTTGTGCCCAGAGACTTTGCTTGGAAAAGATTGGCAATCGATAACCCGTCAGCATACAAAAAATTGTTCATGCCTGAATACTCGAACGTTGTAAGTAAATAATATATAATATATATATATATATATATAGGAGCAAACAATTTTATTTTATGTGAAGTAATGAATGTTTGCAGTACTATTATATAATTTTTGTTTAACTTCCATATGTCTAATTTTATTGTGTAGGCTCGTCAGATTTTGGAACGCCATTTGATCATTGCAGATAAAGCATTTACAATGGACGATTTTAAGAGAGAAGCCAATAATAATTACAATTTGTCTGTCAAACTTCCTACTGTACGTGATGTTTCCATGTATATACAAATCAGAGAAGCTGCTGAAGGTACAAAATCCATTAAAAACTGAATATTACTTAAAAATGAATGATTAGTAATTATGATGCTTCCATTATAATACATTTTTTTGCTTATTGAAATTTCTCAATCATTAGTTATTTTTTGAACAATTATATAGTACGTAATTATATTATTTTTAAATCACGATTTCTTCCCCTTACACAAAACAATTATTATTTATTTCATTGATTTTTTACATTGAATATGTTTTGTTGATAAAACATTATTTACTTTTATTCAAAATATTGTTGTTTTTAGTGTTAAATTGTGTATTCAATTGGTACGTTGAAATTCATACTTAATAACCAAATTTATCTGAAATTGATTTATTACACATAGTAAAATAGAAAGTTCAAATATTCGGTTTTTACAGACAGTAAAACAATTTTATTATTCTAGCATACCTAATATAATAATATATGATGTAACACTATTACAGTATTTATATTTTATTATAATAAACAGTAAACACATTTTATTTACGAGTATAATATATTATATATCAAGACGCGTGCATGTATCATCTTATACATTTTATTCTGAGTTATCACCGAGTTCCACCACATCTAGTTATTATTTTTGAATACTTTACTAAATTTATAGTAAGTAATAATTTTTCGGCCAGCTACAAATACTTGCACCAAATTAGTCCTTTATCACTGTTAATTCCATCTACTTGATCATCAATAAAGTAAAATATATTTTTAAATATTTTAGTATATGTTAAATTGTACTTGGTATAATAGATAAATACCAGATAGGAAAAACATGATTTTCATGTTCAATTTTAGAAGAGACTTAAGTTATACCTAGTACAATTTCTTCACGTATAGTAAAATAAAATGTAAGTTAATACATTTATATTTTACTTTAGCAATAATTTGGTACTAATATACGGCAATCAATAAAACAAAACTGATTCAGCACACTTATTTGTGAAAGGCTATAAGATTATTATTATTATAAATTCATTTAAATACTTAGCGATCTGGTAGGAACTCCATAAAAATATATAACAAAGTGTGAGATAACACAAAAGTCTTGATTATAGGTGATTATTTTAGCAAACAAAACTTATTTAGAAAAAATGTTTATATTATAACAGAATATTTGTTGAGAATGCTTAATAAAAAAGAAAAAAAGAAATTTTTTACGTGTAGTTAATAAGTTATGATTATTTAAAATTTAGATGAATGAAATAGTGGTGTGGCACAGGAATTGTAAAATGTTGGTTTTCTACTCCGCACAATTCATTTTTAATTGTTTATAAATTATGATTATTTAACTACTTGTCTGAAATTTGATTATTATACATCAATATAATATTCTGCTTAAAAATATAAAATAAAAAATCATGTAATACAAATAATTTCAAAAACGTTAATAGTTTTAAAATAACAGGCATGCTTGAAAAAAATAACCCCGTATACTACGATAAGTCTTTGCTATTTATAATAATTTCTATGGTGAATAATTTACTATAATAATGATTATACTGTAGGCTCACATCATTATAATATGAATTCAGTTTTATACTAAATCTTATGATTCTTTGATAAACATACTTCAAGTATTTTTGTATGGTTTAGTATATAAATAAAATGTACTTATCTTTAATATTTTAATTTATCCTATTAATTATTTTATGTCAAATATTTTTTTTTTCAAATTATATAAATATTAAAATGAAAATTATTTTTTTAGGTTACTCAATTGAATGGCGTGGTGAATGGATACATGTACACCGTTCTGATGTCCGTTGCACCAATGGTATCATACACGTAATCGATAAAGTTTTGATTACTGACAACGACATTGAAGTGAATGCTGCTATTGCTACTAAGTCGATAACTGCATTGGTGTTGATTATGGCCCAATGTCTTGTGTTCTATTATTTCAACTAGTCAATTCTTCTCAGCAGGCGTGTCTTGTATGTGGAATACCCTAAGATACGTTTAACAGTTGGTCATAAGGTTCCCATCCTGTTGTTTCCACTAAATACTAAGACCTACTGATAACATTTACATTTTCAAATATTATCCTCTTTCCCCATACGACACGTTTGGTTTTTATAAAGTGAAAATTAGTTCTCATTTGAATTGTATCCAATTCTAAAACGAACAATGTATTTTTATTTCCTATAACATTTAAGTTTTTTTTTAAGTAATTTCCCTTCAAGATTTTTTTATTATAAGCTTGTGCCTGATTAGTTTTATATACATAAATACATAATATATATCTCGTGTATATATAGTATATACATGTCATGTTAATGTGTAATTTTATTTCATTCTTAACATCTGATAAAATCTTATTATTTCAATATTTTTTCTTTGATGTGGATAGTAGTATAGTTATTTTTATCCAAGAAAGAGGAATAATTTTGATTACATTTCAAACAATATTTGCTTTTAAAGCTGCACATCATCAACACATTTGAACAAATGCGTTAATTTGATTATACCATATTACTAAAAAAATTTTAAATGTATTCCCTATGACATTTCCCTATTCCTTTATTTAAAAATATAAAATTTTACATAAGAATTTTAGTATAAAAATTGGAATGGGTAAAAGTCAATGTGATTTATTAAAATCAAAAGGAAACGCATAAATGAGTCTGACAAAACAAGATTTCGAGTATTTCACATGTTAGGAAAATAATTTTTTTTTTAGATCAAAATATTGATTTGTAAATACTGAACATGGTATAACTATAGGACTTAATAGTATTAAAAAAAAAAAATTATATTTAATTATGTATGCCTTACGATAGTTCAAAGTAAATAATTTGTTATTCGTTAAATATTATTTAAAAAAAAAAGACAAAACTAGAATTAATAATGATACATAACCGATGTAGGTTCATCTTAATCATATTCTATTGATATATATTATAAGTTATATATTTATACATGTGTAAATTGTAATTTGAGAATCATTTAATAGGAGAATTAATATATAATAGAAAATAATCTTGTTGAATTTATACAAAAATTTTACGAAAATATATTAATCTCGTCCTTTCATTGAATAACTATAATATTATAACAATAATGATAATTAATAATATTATATTATATTATACTATAATACTCAATGAAAACTGATAATTAGTGCATTAATGCTTGGTGTCTATTTATATTTTCTACTGCTGTTGAAGTGGAAAATATAAACCAAAATTGTAGTTTTTTTTTTTACTTAAGAAAACGATTGTTCATATATTTAATGGCTAAGAAACGAAATTAAGAGTAAAGAGAATTATTTGGTAATTTTGATATTGTATAGAAGAAAAAAACTGTGACTGCTTCATCTAAATAAGATTGTAAATGGATGCAAATTTTCGGTGAAAAAAAAACAACCATATTTGTTTATATTTTATTAACAATATAATAAATGTAAATACTAGATTTATGTGTTAAACAATTTACTTTTTTTTTTTTTTGTAATGATGGTTGAAGTCCCACTGCTATTATTTTTCTGTGTACCATAATTTTATTATTTTTTATTTTTTCCTTATTCATATTAAACATAATATCAACGACCTGCACCAACTAATAATATTCCATATTATATTCATTATGATGTAATATGTATAATTCTTTTTTTTTTAGTTGCATTATCCATTTAATAAGTGTATTCAGTGTTTTGGCACCAAGGCTTGTAGCCAATGATTGAATTTTGGTCAGTTATATTATTATGTGTTTGCGCCAAGTTTTTAACATTACACTTTTAAATTATAATACCTTTAATGTATATTTTTTTTTTCAAGTGCTCGCAATGTTATCTTTATAATTATCTAACTACGTACATAATATAATATGTAATCTTGTTTTTTTTTTTTTTGAAACAAATAAAGTATTGATATTACAACAATAATAAAATAGAAATATTACATGAGCTTCAGTTCGTTCTGTTAAATTACTTGAAAAAATTCTTTCATTCTATTGAATTTCTTGGTTAAATTCAATTTCAATATGCATTGAAGAACAATAAATAAAATATGTAAACTTATTAAATGCACATAACATATGTGGTTATAGCTAAAACATCATTGTGTCAAAGGTTTAAAAAAATAAATTGTAATATTAATTCAAAAGTGTAGGTATTTACTTTGAATTAATATAATCCAGTTCTCTTATGATTATCTAAATAATTAGGTATACCATGTTATTTAATCATTAAAATTTACAAAACAGTAAAATGCAGAACATCACCCAATGTTAGTGCTCATATTAAACTATAAATATAAAGTTATATTTACTGAAATTAAATTATTAAAATATACTTAATACACAAAATAATTAAAAAGTTTTAAGTATTTACATAGGTACATGAATTGCCTATCTTAGATTTTTAAATAATATAAAATCACGACAAATTAAATACTTTGATAAATTGATAGTTTTTATGTACATTCATCTTACAAATACAATTATTAACAAAGACAATATTATAATGTAACTTTATTTGAAATACCTATTTTAGTAATGACATGAATTTAATAGAGATACCTGTTGATACTTACTTAAAGACTAAGGTGGATGCATTTATCCAATGAGTTGTATAATCCCACTTTTGGGTTATAATTGATGCTTTGTAGGATACTACTTTTTTTTCTTATCTCATTTTGGCGCTTATGTCTTCCACTACAAAATACAATTTATTTAATTAATTTTTAACGTTCAAATAATTTTGTATTATTTTTGTTGCGTCCCTTATCATACAATATTAACTAATAACTGAACTACATTTAACAATATTAGACAACAGTCAATAATCAGTGATCTATTGAATGCGAAAATACTGAATTGAAGATAATATTGAATAGTATTGGTAGGTGTATTTTATATTACTGATCACTGCAATAATGCAGATGTATTTAATCTATTATTTATAATAATAGTAGTAATAGAGAGTAAACGTATTAAATTCTATCTATAATCGCACATGTTTAAAATGAACCAAGTTAAATATAAAACTATATTTAAGTTATTATCATGATAGTGATATTATATTAACCGTCATAAATGTTATATTAATTATTATTCTATAATAAGCTCACGGGATAATGACGGCCACTTAATAGCTTGTGACTTCGAGAAAAAGCCCATTTATATACCACACTGAACTTTTTTTTCTCAAATCAGAAATACATTCTTATCATCGAGCTTTGAATTATAACAGTTATTTTGTATAAAATTAATAATAATACGTTTGAAGCTTGAAATTTTGTTTTCAAAATATAACCTAAAGGTCCTAGGAAATAAATATTGAACAAGTTAGGAATGTATACAAGTTCAAATTATACTTAGTTCGAAATCTATATTTTAGTAAAATGACGACTTAAATAACTTTTTAATCATATAGTCAATGAATATTTGTTTGATAAAAGGTTAGTAACAAAATTGATACAAAATAGACAATAAAAATAAATATAAATATCCATTTTATTACCTAGGTACTGAATTTTTTTTTTTTTTATTTAATAGAATGAATTCAATTATTTTTTAGGGCCATTATTAAATATGTTAAACGGAGCATGTATTAAAAAATTATGGATTTTATAATAATTATGTAATACGTTTTTCGTGTTTATCATCTATTCTCAAAGCAGTAAAAAAGATTACTTAGTTGCCAAATAACAAAAAAAAAAAAACCAATGGGAGCACCAATCGAACGCAACATGTAAATAATGAATATGGCTTCGATAGGTTTTGTGGTTTCTGACTTCCTGAGATTATTGAGCGTTGAAAAACGTATAAACATTTATATACCTATAAATAGATAAGTATATACTAAAGTACTATTATAGTATTTTATTATATACTACGATGTTATGGATAAAAATTCAACATACCGAGTTCATATTTTCATTACAGTTGCATACTCAAATGTGAGGTGCTGTGGTACACTCAACACTTTCTGTAAAAGCAGAGCAGTAACCTACTTGACCACTTTGTTTTATGTTGTTTAATTTTCAAATAAAGTCTGGGCATGCCTAAAGATAAAACATAAGCATAAATTATAATAATGATAAACGAGTAAAATAATTTTGGTTTCGTTATATATATATATATATATATATATATTTTTTTTTGTAGTAATTATAATGATTTGCATAAAATTAATCAAATTGAATCTATTTGGATATTCAATACAAATTAATAAAATAATTATTTTATTAAAAAACAATTAAGTTTACATGACTAATTTGCTTATCTTCATAATCTTTTAATAGAATCTGATTTGATTAGCAAGTCATTTTTTATGTAAGAAAATCTGAAGTTTGGCATCGTGTTACTCTTAAAACTTCAAATTCATGGTTTTTATGTATCGTTTCTCTTTATAAAAATCGATAAAATATCTTTGAATCTGAAACATGATTATTAGCGTTTGCCTTTTAATTAATTTCAATATGTTTTAGGTAAAACCATGCATAGCCATATTCAGTGGCGCCGAACTTCTAAAAATGTACTCAGGCCAAATGAAAATACAACGGCCCCAAGCCACCCCAGCGGCCACAAACCTACTCCTACGTACCTACCTAATAACTAATTTAATTCATTATTTTTATATTCCATTTCTGTAGCTATTAGAATTCAACTGAGACAGAGAAGTCTCTGAACTAGGTACCTAAATAAATAAGTATTACTAGTGTTAGGTAATATAATGTTTTTTATTTTCATCAAGTATTCGAGTATATTATGTTGATTAAAATATTGCTAAAACGTCCAGCCCCCCCTCTGATCGCCGGCCCCCTTTTAAAAATTTGATTAGGCCGTAACCTGATCTAAACACAGGACTTGACGCCATTGACTATATTAATGTATCCTATAGAATTTCTGCAATTCTCAAATAAATATGTACATTAGCACATTGCCATAACCTAACCGTCTTCTTCACGTATTGTTATTTGTTATTGATAAACCTAAACTATTATCTCATTTTAAATCTTCATTCTATCGTTAATATTTACTATTATCATGAACTAATAGTGAAAATATTATGAAGTAATTCATACCATCTTATTTCAAATAATAACAATAACAACCATGAATTTTTATTAGGTACTAGGTAGGTATTGTTAACATTTACAGTTATATAGTATTATAATAATTAATCAGAGTAAATATTTATAACTAAATATGCAACATAATAAAACTTAAACTAAAAAAAAAG